AGCCCCACAGGGATGCATCCTCAGCTCCCTATCGTGCTCCCTGTACATCTGTGACTGCATTGCCAAGTTCCGAATGAATGCCATCTACAAATTCTGTGATGACACCACCGTAGTAGGATGGATATTGAACAATGATGAGTCAAAATACAGAAGGGAGATAGAGAGCTTGGTGACGTGGAATAATGAGAACAACTACTCTCAATGTTGGCAAAACTAAAGTACTGGTCATCAACTTCAGAAGGAAAGGAGGAGAACACGTTCCCATCTACATCAATGGAACTGAGGTTGAGAGGGTAGAGAGCGTCAAGTTCGTCAGAGTGACAACAATCGACAACTTGTCCCAGGCCTTCCATGTAGATGCAACAGTCAAGAGTGCACAACAATGCCTCTTCTTCCTCAGGTGGCTCAGGAAATTTGGCATGTCCATAGGGTCCCTCGCCAACTACTACAGATGCACCATTGAAAGCAAACTGTCTGGGTGCATAATGGCCTGGTATGGCAACTGCTTTGCCTAGGACCGTAAGAAACTGCAGAAGATGGTGTGCATAGCCCAGACCACCACTGAAACCAACCCCTATCCATGGACTCCATTTACACAGCTCGCTGTCACAGAAAGGCTGCCAACATCATCAAAGACCCATCGCACCCGGGTAATGATCTCTCACAACTGCTTCCATCAGGCAGAAGATACAGAAGCCTGAACACACATCAACAGGTTCAGGAACAGCTTCTATCCGGCCATTATTTGACTGATTAATGGACTCTCTACCCTCAAATAATGCTGATCTGGCTAACGTTGATCTTGCCTAGCACACACCCTGTGCAATTTAACCTGTATGCCTCTGTCTAAGTCTTTTTGAACTGTAAATCCTTGCTTACTACAATCTGTCTGTACTGCTCGTAAACAGAGCTTTTCATTGTACTTTGGTACGCGTGACAATAAATCAATCAATTAATCAATCAGATTGGAACTTTACTCATTTTAAATGCTGAGAGCGTTTCCCTTCATGTCTCAGAATAAAGGGGTGCTAGTTTAAGACTGACATTAGGAGGAATTTCTTCTCTCAGAGGGTTGAGAGTTTTTGGAACTCCTTGCAACACAGAGCTGTGGGGGCTTAGATTTAAGTCTTAAATAGATAGCTTCTTGATTAGTCAGGGAATCAAGGGTTATGAAGAAAAGGGCAGGAAAGTGGACACGTGAAATGGTGGATCAGCTATTATTCTATTAAAAGGCAGAGCAGGCTTGAGCATGTAACGGTCTACACCTGTTCCTATTTCTTATGGTTTTAAATGACTATTTAAAATTTGTTTCAGAACATAAAAACAGGAGTAGGTTATTTAACTTGTTGAGCCTGCTCCAGCTTTCAATAAAATCATTGTTGAGCATCCAGTTCAATGCCCATTCCCACATTGCACCTAAATCAAATAATGTTATTGGTATTTAGATATCTCCCAATCTCTACTTTAAGCATAATTGACTCAGCTTCCATCATTCTCTGAGGTAGAGAATTTTGAAGATTCACAATTCCTCGTGTTAAAGAAATCTTTCCCTCATCTCAGTAGTTTCCTGCTTATTTTGAAACTCTGTACCCTATTCTAGATTCCCTAACCAGAGGAAACATCTTAGCTGAATCTATCCAGTCTATACCTTTTAAGTATTTTGTAAGTTTCAATGAGATCATCTCTCATTCTTTGAAATTCTAGAGCATGCAAACCCAGTTTGCTGAATCTGTTTTCATGCAACAGTTCTGACATGCTGGCAACAAATCTAGTAAAACTTCATTGCATTCTCTCTGTGGCATTAACATTCTTCTTGAGGTAAAGGAATTCAAACTCAGATTCAGTCTAATTAATGTTTTATACAATTGAATCAAAACTTTGCTACGCTCAAATCCTTTTGTGTTATAGACTAACATACTGTTAGCCTTCCTAATTGCCTGCATGTTAGATTTCAATGACATATTGACTAGGACATCCAAATCTTTTGTACTGTTTCGAACTTCTTACCAGTTTAGAAATTCTCAGCACATCTGTTCTTCCTATTAAAGCAGATAGCCTCACATTTTTCTGTGTTACATTCCACCTGCCACGTTCTAGCCCATTCCAGATCCTCTGCTTTGTCCTGGGTCTTACACTCGCTGCAATATGTTGTATTGTGCTGCAAAACTGGAAAGAGATTGGGTGCTCAACATCTCAAGCATCAATTTCAGAGTCTCTCCAACATGTTAGTACCTTACCATTTACATATTTGAGTATTAACCCTTAACTCCAAATTGAACGATGTAATTGCACACTTTGTTTCTTATCTCTCGCCAAATGGATTCTGGGATTTTCTCCTGTACCTTTTCTATGGTATTCATACAGTTATTTTCTCCATTACTCTGTTTCTTTCTATGTAGACAGTACCTGACCAGATGAGTATTTCCAGCATTTTCTGTTTTTATTTCAGATTTCTAGAATCTGCCAAGTTTTGCTGTTGTGTTGTTCCAGATACACCTTATTACTTAGATTTCACAGTCATTGGGTCGGGTGCTATAAGCTGAATTACACTCTACAACTGACATCTTACATTTCAGTGAACTCAGTCTACATTTGGAAATGTATTCAAATAATAGCTGCAGCATATTTTGGAATCCTGTGAAATCCCATTCTACCCCACTGTCCCAGTTCCCTTTTGACAGATGTGACTGCTTTCACCAGTCCTTGAGCCAGTGCATTCTGGTACATAACTTAAAAAGAAGCTCTTCAACTCACCAACAGTCCTTTTGCAGATTCTTTTATCTAAAGCCTGCACGCTGTTTCAGTCCTTAGTGTTTGCTATGGTTCAGTTAATAAGCACTCTTGTCAGAAAATTATAGATATATACACCCAACAGTAAGATTAGTATCACAGAAATCTAGGCTAACAATCTAGTTCAGCACAGTAGGAGGCATTTTCATTCAGATGTGATGTTAACTAAAATCAAATCTGCCCTCATTTGATTTGATTTATTGTAGTCACGTGTACCTAAGTACAATGAAAAGCTTTGTTTGCGAGCAGTACAGGCAGATCATAGTAAGCAAGGGCATGCAGGTCATAGGGTGCTTAGATAGAGTGAGACAGACAGGTTACACTGCACAGGAGGTGCACAAAGCAAGATCAACATTAACAAGATCAACATTATTTGATGGTAGCGAGTCCATTGAGCAGTCTAATAACAGGTGGAAAAAACATGTTCTTGAACCTGTTCGTGCCTGTGTTCAAGCTTCTGTCTCTTCTGCCTATGGAAAAGATTGTAGGAGAGCATTACAAGGGGTGCAATGGGTCTTTGTTGATGTTTGCAGCCTTTCCGCAGCAACGAGAAATGTAAATGGAGTCCATGGATGGGAGGTTGGCTTCCGTGATGCTCTGGGCTGTGCGCACAACCTTCTGTACCTTCTTATAGTCCTGGGCAGGGCCATTATGCACCTGGATAGTATGCTTTCTATGGTGCATTTGGAAGAAGTTGGTGAGCATCCTTATGGACATCACCAAATTTCCTAAGCTGCCTGAGGAAGAAGAGGTGTTGTTGTGCCTTCTTGGCCGTTGCATCTACGTGGGAAGTCCAGGACAGGTTGTTGGTTATCGTCACTCCTGGGAACTTGACGCTGTCAAACTCCGCTCTGTTGATGCAGATGGGGGTGTGTTCTGCTCCTTTCTTTCTGAAGTCAATGATCAGTTCTTTTGTTTTGCTGATATTGAGAGAGAGATTGTTATCATTGTACCACAATGCCAAGCCCTCTATCTCCTCTCTGTATTCTAACTCATCATTGTTCAATATCAGTCCTACCATGGTGGTGTCATCAGCAAACTTGTAGATGGCGTTTGTTCGAAATTTGGCTACACGTTTGTAGGTATACAGGGAGTATGGTAGTACACCATCACAGGTGAACATAGAAGATTCCCACGTTACTCCTTTGAAGAACAGCAGGGGAGTTAGCCTCTGTTAATTAGTCCTCAATGCATGACCCAAAAACAGATTGTCAGGTCTTTACTACATTGCTGCTCGTGGGAGCTTGCTCTGCACTAACTGGATGTTATGTTTCCAAAATTGTAATAGAGATTGCACTTAATTTTATTGGCTGTAAAATGTCTTCCTCAACACGAGGGCATACCTGAGAAATTCTTTTTATGTTTCCTTTTTTTTCTCGTTTTAAAATCAAACTCAGTGTTGAATCACAGATCAACCATGACCCTGGCGGTGGAACAGGCCTAAGGAGTTAAGTGGTTTTCTCGTCATTCATCTTCCTATGCTGCAGTGTTTCAGGTCGTCATTTTGGAACTCTTTTTTTGTTCTTGTATGAGATGTTGGTGTCATTAGCAAGGCCAGCATTTGGTTGACCATCCCTAGCTGTCCTTGATCTGACTCGTTCTTTAGGTCACTTAAGAGAAGAATTACAAGTCAACCACATTGTTGTTGGTCTGTAGTCATATGTAGACCAGGCCAGGTAAGACAGCAGATTTCCTTCTCTAAATGGCACAAATGAGCCAGATGGGATTTTACGACAATGGTTGCGTGATTTCTCACCACCACCATGGTTCATATTCACTACAAGGGGTTAAAACCCCAGAAGCAAGTGTCACTGTTTGTGGGGTGTAACTAAGTTCCAGGTCTCAGATATAAATGCAGTTGGAAGGACAATCTGTGGTTTTTTGCAAACTATTCTCCCCTGCCGCTATCTTATCTGCATGACATGTCACTTAGTTTTAGATCAGGGTGAATGGAAGAGCGGAAATAAACAAGAAAACAAGGACAACGTTGGTCAAAGGATAAATATCAAAAATACATACATAAAGCCTAAAAATATTTGTACACTGCTTATTTTAGGTCATTTTTGGTAAGTAAAGAATAATTGCTATGTCTATGATGATTTTCATTGAGAATGACATGAAGGAGAATATTCTAACAAGGACTAATATGGTCCTGTTAAATAATGGTCCCAATTAAACAGAAGTAATACTAAATATAAACATCTACGTACCTACATGCATCTTTCAGTTGCTTCCATCAAGTCTGTCCAAAGATTTAAACACCATTGAAATAACAATTGTTAATCATCCACGTTTCCTCTGTATTAAGTCAAACCTGAAATCTTAACTCTGTCTCAGGCCAAAGATCTGCCATGCATTTCCAGCATTTTCTGCTTTCATTCCATGTTCATTTTACCTCTTAATTGTACATCAGCAGAAATCCATTCAGGAAACGGTGTTGAAACATCCACTGGCTCTGTATGTGAACTAATAAAACTTGATAATTTCCTTTTCAAAATTTCATTCCCAGCAGAAGTGGACTAAGCTGTCCTTCTAAATTCCCAGTTGCCCTTGTTGAGGGTCTTCGAGTGTTCATACTTCCTCTCTGTATTTCCAATGAATCACATGGTTTCTGTAGCATTGCTTCATCCAAATAGCAGAAGTCAAATGACGCAACTTTTCCTGATCATCATTGTGGCTGGAAACTGCTTTTAACCCTGCACTACATTTAATCATTGTACTAGTTTTGGTAGGAAGAAATAAAAATAAGCATATTTTCTAAATGGTGAGAAATTGCTGAAGCTCTGAGGTACAGAAGGATGTGGGTGCCCTAATGCATGAATTGCAAAAATCTAGGCAATATTCAGGTACAGCAAGGAATCAGAAAAGCCAACAGAATGTTATCATTTATTGTGAAGGGAACTGAATCTAAAACTATAGATAAAGCTTATGCTTCAGTGACACAGGGCATTGATGAGACCACATCCAGATTCTGCAAACAGTTTGAATCTCCTTATTAAAGGATGGATGTAGATGAGTTGGAAGCAGTTCAGATAACGTCTACCAGTATTATGATCCCTTTTGATGATACTATTGGACAAGTCAGATCCCAAAATGAAATCTGGCTTGATAGATCATATGTCTTAATTTTTCTAGCAAGTTGATGTTGCAGTTAGTCACTGAAGCAGGGAGGATTGAAGTGTAGGCAAGAGGTAGTGATGGACACTCTATAGTCAGGGCCTCAGACAGATTTCTGTGGCCACAGGCAAGACTCCAGGATGCTGTTTTACCTCCCTGGTGCCAGGGTCAAGGACATCTCTGAGCATGCACAGTATATTCTGAAGGGAGATGGTGAGCAGCCAGAAGTTGTGTCCATATTGGTACTAATGACACAAGCAGAAAGAGAGATGAAGTCCTGGAAAGGGAATTTAGGGAGTGAGGTAGGAAGTTGAAAAGCAGGACCTCCAAGGTTTTAATCTTAATTTCTTCTCTGTGCCACCTACTAGTGAGGTCAGAATAGGAAGATAGTACAGTTGAATGTGTGGCTAAAGAGCTGATGTAGGAGGGAAGAATTCAGGCATCTGGATCATTGGGATCTCTTCCAGGGCAAGTGGGACCTGTAAAAGAAGGAAGGATTGTACCTAAACTGGAGAGGCACCAATATCCTTGCAACAAGATTTGCTAGTGCAACTGAGGAGGGTTTAAACCCATGTGGCAGGAGGTAGGAACCAAAGCAATTGGTCAGAATGTGGAGATAGTAAGAACTGCTGATGTTGGAGTCAGAGATAACACAGTGTGGAGCTGGAGGAACACAGAAGAAGAAGGGTCCCAATCCAAAACATCAACTTTCCTGCTCCTCTGATGCTGCCTGGCCTGCTGTGTTCCTCCAGCTCCACGCTGTGTTATCTAGATCAGAATGTGGAATGTTTGAAAAAAACAGAGGGACTAAATCAAGTAAGTATTGCAGGAAGAAACGCAGAGCCAGATCAAAAGACATGGCAGGACTAGCAGCCTGAAGTGTATTTATTTTAATGCAAGTATTTAATGTAATTTAATGCATTTAATGTAAGTATAACAGATAAGTCAGATGAGCTTAGACCCTAGATTACGTTCATAGGACCACGACGTGGTAACCCTTACAGAAACTTGGTTGAGAGAAGAGCATGATTTACATGTTTTGGGTGTGGGATATCGTGTCTCATTAACTTGAATCAGTTTTTTGAAGAAGTAACAAAGAGGATTGATGAGGGCAGAGTGGTGGACATGATCTATTTGGATTTCAGTAAGGCATTCGACAAGATTCCTCATGGTAAACTGGTTAGCAAGGTTAGATCACATGGAATACAGGGAGAACTAGCCATTTGGATACAGAACTGGCTCAAAGGTAGAAGACAGAGGGTGTTAGTGGATGGTTGCTTTTCAGACTGGAGGCTGGTGACAAGTGGTGTGTCACAAGGCTCGGTGCTGGGTCCACTGCTTTTCACATTTATACACATGATTTGGATGTGAACATAGGAGGTATGGTTAGTAAGTTTGTAGATGACACCAAAATTGGAGGTGTAGTGAACTGAAAAGAAGGTTACCTCAGAGTAGAATGGAATCTTAATCAGATGGGCCAAGGAGTGGCAGATGGAGTTTAATCTATAAATGTGAGGTATTACATTTTGGAAAGGCAAATCAGGGTAGGATTTATACACTTAATGATAAGATCCTGGCCAGCGTTGCTGAACAAAGAGACCTTGGAGTGCAGGTTCATAGTTCCTTGAAAGTGAAGTCGCAGGTAGATAGGATAATGAAGAAGGCATTTGGTATCCTTGCCTTTATTGGTCAATGCATTGAGTGTAGGAGTTGGGAGGTCATGTTGTGGCTCTACAGCCCATGGGTTAGGCTGCGTTTGGAATACTGTGTGCAATTCTGGTCTCCCTGCTATAGAAAGGATGTTGTAAAACTTAAAAAGATTCAGAAAAGATTTACAAGGATGTACAAGGATAAATAGGCTGGGGCTATTTTCCCTGGAGCATCGGAGGCTGAGGGGTGACCATTATAGACGTTTATAAAATCATGATAAGGTAAATAGACAATGTCTTTTCCATGGAGTGGGGGAGTCCAAAACTCAAGGGCATAGGTTTAAGGTGAGAGGAAAAGATTTAAAAGGGCCCTAAGGGGCAACTTTTTCCACACAGAGGGTAATGCGTGTATGGAATGAGCTGCCAGAGAAAGTGATGGAGGCTGGAACAATTACAAAATTTAAAAGGCATCTGGATGGGTATATGAATAGGAAGGCTTTACAGGGATATGGGCGAAATACTGGCAAATAGGACTAGATTTATCTAGGATATCTGGTCAGCATGGATGAGTTGGACCGAAAGGTCTGTTTTCATGCTGTACATTTTAATGACTCTACGATAGAGAAGGATGGAAAAGGTACACGTGGCAATTAATCAAATCAAACCAAATTTCCTGCTGGCTATTGGTAGTCCTGTAGTATAACCCTATCTTAGTAATTGTACCTTTCTTATTCTTAGGTTCTACCCATATTGCCTCATTTGATTAACCTTCCCAGGTATCCTCTCTTAGTACAGCTGAGACACTCTCCTTAAAAGGTGAAGGAGTTTGTGACGATGCTATGGCTTTAAGAGGTATATTTTGTCCTGGTTTTCTTTTCAATGAAGAAAGATTGTGACACAGATGCCTAGCAGTTTGTTACAAAGCCAATAAAGTAAACAACTTGTGAGGCCCTGGTTTTATTTCAAAAGTTGGAACAATAGAAGCAACCTAAAAGGGTGGGTTCAAGCTCCTATAGAACTGGTATTTTTAGTTTTTTTTAAGTAGCAGTTGCTGGGGTCTTGAAGCTGGGTTTGGAAGCTGCAGTACGTCTCTCCCTGCTACTCTTTTTCTGTTAAGCATTTCAATAGGGTTTCAGTTAAGTCAGTTCTTTTATTTTAAGTTTGTCTGCATTTTAAGGTAGTGTAGAGATAAAAAAAAGTTTTGCTTAACATTGAGTAGTTTGATCGATCCAATTGCATCTGGAATGCAACACCTTAAACACTTATCTTTGAAATAAGAAAATGTTAGGGTCTAGACTATGTTCTTAATATATGTTGAGGGGGTTTGGTCTGGTCCATAACAAGTTGCATTACTGATTAAGGAGAGTGTCTCAGCTGTACTAAGAGAGGATACCTGGGAAGGTTAATCAAATGAGGCAATATGGGTAGAACCTAAGAATAAGAAAGGTACAATTACTAAGATAGGGTTATACTACAGGACTACCAATAGACAGCAGGAAATTTGGTTTGATTTGATTAATTGCCATGTGTACCTAGTAGAGTGAAAAGCTTTGATTGCTAGCAGTACAGGTAGATCATAATAAGCAAGGACACATAGATCATAGTGTGTTTGGAGAAAGTGAGGCATACAGGTCACACATCACAGGAGATGTGTGAAGCAAGATCAACATTATTGTTGAATTAGAGGAACAGATATATAGTCAGATTACAGTTATGTAATCACGGAAAGATGTAAAAACAACAAGGTTGTGGCAGTGAGTGATTCCAATTTCCCCAACATTCACAGAGAACCCCTTTGTGCCAGGGACTAAGATGGGGCAGAATTTGTTAGGTACCTGTAAGAGGGATTCTTGAAACAATACATTGGTAGTCCAACTAGGGAAGGGGCCATACTGGGAATGAGCTTGTGGCCAGATGATTGAAGTTTCAGTGGGGGAGCATTTTGGGAACAGTGAGCATAATTCTATAAGTCTTAAGATAGTAATGGAAAAGGATAAGACTCGTCCTCAGGTAAAAGTGCTTAATTAGGGAAAGGCTAATTTTAACAGATTTAGGCAAGAACTGGAAAAACTAGGTTGGGGGTGACTGTTTGAAGGTAAACCCACATCTAACATGTGTGAATAAAAACCGAAAGAACTGCAGATGCTGTCAATCAGGATCAAAAACACAAATTGCTGGAAAAGCTCAACAGGTCTGGCAGCATCTGTGAAGAAAAATCCGAGTTAATCTTTTGGGTCTGGTGACCCTTCCTCAGAACAGACACCATCCTGTGGAAGGGTCACTATACCCAAAACATTAACTCTGATTTTTCTTCAAAGATGCTGCCAGACTTGCTGAACTTTTCCAGCAATTTCTGTTCTAACATGTGTGAGTCTTTTAAAAGCCAGTTGACCAGAGTTCAGGATGAGCATGTTCCTGTGAGGATAAAGGATAAGGTTAGCAAGATTCAGGAACCTTGGATGATGAGAGTCATAGAGTCCTATAGCACAGAGACAAGCCCTTCAGCCCAAACTGGTCCATGCCGACCAAAATGTCCATCCGCACTAACCCCATTTCCCTGCACTTGACCCATATCCTTTTAAACCTTTCCAATACCAATGTATTTGTCTAAATGCCTTTTAAATGTTGTTGATGTATCTGCCTCAACTATTTCCGCTGGCAGCTCATTCCATATGCGTACCACTCTCTGTGTAAAAAAGTTGCACTTCAAGTTCCCACGTATTCATTCCCCTCTTGCCTTGAACTGATGCCCTCTAGTCCTCGATTCCCTTACCCTGGGAAAAAGACTGAGTGCGTTTACTC